GTTCTCAGGTGAAGGTAATCATATTCCGCGTTCCTCGGTAATGGTGAACGGACGCAGCCTCCAGGCTGTAACGGAACCTCTGCCACCAGCCTGCACCCCGGCCTCTGTGTCGAGGCCCCGTGGGTGCACCTAGCTCGAGCTGCGCTTTTCCGTACCCTCTCCTCCGTACGAGCCAAACTCCTCCGTTGCCGCAATTATCGCACGACCGGCTGTTATCTCTCCGGCAAGCGATGGCTCTTCTCTCCCCCGACGATCGTTATCGTTACCATCTCGTTGCTAAGCGCGGACAAGGCGGACTAGCCTTTGAACTTGACCCTAACCCCGTGACACCGGCGGCCCGATCGGCAACGAACAACAGCGAATACTAATAACAATTAATTTGCCGCTATCCACAATTCAATGAATGGTTCGCCATCGGCGGAAACCGCACGCGAAAAGGATCCCGTTGCGGTTGCAGGAGCCCGATAGCGATCGTTACTGTTGTTGGTACGACGAGAGATGGTTACCTCAGCGCGAATACGCCAGGATGTAATACATTCGCGCGATAATCATTCGCGGGATAATCACGACGCATTAATTAGTGGATTAATTAGAGCGGAGGCGTTCGCCTTACTTTGCCGTGACGTTGAACGCACCGCTCACTCTCGTTGTTGTTGCCGAGAGCGAATTACCTGTCTGTTCCGAGTTTCGTCCGACCGAGGTAATTAATCGCACGGGCGCGAAAGTAAAATCGAGCGTGTCTCTCTTCGCTTTAGCTTTTTACGTGTCTCTGGAAAATTCTCTTTTTCTCCCGATACTTTAGCGTTGAGTCGGAATGAACGTGCCGGGAAATCAATGGTAATATTTCTAGATGACATCTCTCTAAATAATATTGATTTACAGTCTAATACGATGCTTGAAAAAAAATCTACGATGGAAAAGAATCGAGATTTAGAGCATGAAGTATTACTTTCAGACGTTGCGATCCGTCGAGTCGGAAAACACCTCTCTATATTTCGAGCAATTTCTCATTATTTAACCGTCGTGAAATATAATTGATTAATCCGAGAGGGTGAAGAGAGCGTCCCTCGAGTTACGAGCTCGAGCCACTCGAGTTAGAGGGATCCGGAGAGTCGATGATGATCGTATACATATGTAACACGCACGATCGATGATCGCGCGCGTGCTGTAACCGGAAGATGTCATCGTTGGCAATTACGACCGGATCGAACGTAAATTTATTGACGCGACAAACCAGTGCCGGACTCGGCAACGATGCACTTGGATGCACGTCGCGCTTTATAAACGCGATGCATCCTGAAGACACGGTGCCTTCCGTCGCGGCGCGGCCGTGTCGAGAGCGCAAGTGGAATTAGTCTCGGTTCGACGGACGCGCCTACTGCTCCTGGACGAGCAAGATGGAAAGTAATGCACCTGGCGACGAATGAGGATGAATCGACGCGAATGCCGATCGTGCCGAAGGAATGAGACGGAGAGAAAAAGAGACAAAGAGATGAGAATGGAGCCGGGCCACACATTGTCAGACCGATATTTCCATTCATAACGCGTCACCGCACGGGTGTGTCGTTTCTGGGTTGCGAACGCGACCCGCGTGTCACTCACGCACCGAACGTGATACGAGAGCGATAGTGCGACTCTATCGGGCTACTGGGATAGTCGCGAAGTAAGAGATGTGAAAAATTAATCGATCAAATGCATTTTTACACTCGTTAAATCAACTGATCGATATTTCGCGAGCATCGAGTATTTGTTTCAATTTATTCAACAGACTTTATTTATTAAAATTACACGTAGAACACGATATCTGAGTCGTAATTCAGAATAATATATCTTTAATAATTTTCGAGTAACTTTAAAGCTATATACACATGTATAGAAATGAGAAAATATTATGACATAGCGTATGGTGGAAGCGAACAAAAGGGAAATAAAAATCTAGAAAATTAGTTTCAATAGCAATACGAGTCGAGCGTCGATATTATAACACATTTATTTATTTATTATACAATAAAAAAGTAAGAAACAAATAAAAAAGAAAGGATAACGAACGTTTCGACTCTATTTTTAGGTCATCTTCAGCGCAAATGTGATGATGTGACCTGTGATCTGTCATCACTAATCACAGGGTTGGTTCTGATCATGCCTTTAATTGGGAAGATTTCAGATCGGGAACCATTTTTGAGTAAAAGATTGATTTCTGAAATGCTATATATAAAAAGGCAAAAAAATGATTTAAATTTGTAAACGGATATTGAACGTTTACCAGAAATTTATTTAAATATTGTAAACAACTTGCCAAAAATTTAACATAGTTTTCTATCATAACAAATAGGTCTGCGACTTTACTTATGTTTATATATCATTTGTGACTCATTTTACCGTTTATAAATAAGTCACATCTATCTGTTAAAGACTAATCGTTCTTTGTCTTTGGAGATGTTGATTTGTTCCCATTCGTCTCCTCGGTTTGTCGGTTTGTCGGTTTGTCTTCGATACCTGGAAGTATGTCTCAATTTCATAGTTTTAACTTCTGATTTCTTTAATCATTTAATTTTTATTCCTTTTTGATTCTATGTTCAGTTTATATTTATTTAAATTTTTTTCAAAATGGACATTTAAATCTTTGCATCTTTTTAATCTTTTCACGTTAAATTTTAATATTTATTTCCATCTATGTTTATATTAGTTTACATTATCCATTTATCTTATTTCACTTTTATTTTACATAGACATCGTCAAAATAATGAGATGCCCAGACATTTAGTATTACTTTGAACGGCACCCTATCTAATCGATTCAGATATTAGATTTTATCACATCATTACATTTGCGCTGAAGATGATCTAAAAAATAGGGTCGAAACGTTCGCTATTCCTTCTTTTTTATTTTTATTTGTTTCTTGCTTTTTTATTGTATAAGAAATAAATAAATGTGTTATAACATCGACGCTCGACTCGTATTGCTATTGAAACTAATTTGTTAATTTTATATTTCGAGTCTTATACCTTTATTATTTGTAAAATTCTAGACCATGCAAATTTAGACGTTACGAGCGCCCTGTTTTACTACCGCGAATAGAAGTTACAGCTGCACAAGACGCAGCGTGCATTTCTCAAAGTTCTCGCGGAAGGAATCCCAAGAACGAGCGTCTCGGACTTTGCACGGTACTCGAGCACTTTGACTAAAGATGTTAAAAGTGTACGCGCCAGCAGTATTGACGGTATTGCGCCCATTCACCGAATTCCCCCGTTCAATAGACCGTCCCGTGAATACACAATGACGTAAGAGTCCCCGTTGCTTCGCGGCGCATTGCTCCGAGTTCGCAATTGGCGCGTCTAGTCGCGCTGAAAAATATCTCGCGGATTTATCCATTGGCGCGAGATTCATTACGATCGGTCGGAATGTAATTTACAACGCGGCTAGCATGAAACGAACGTTAACGAGCCAGCGCGAGTTTAGGTGTCGCGGCTCTCTCACATTGCTTCTTCTTCTTCTTCCTCCTCTTCTTTTTCTTCTTCTTCTTCTCCTCTTCCTCCTCCTCTTCCCTTCCCCGGATTACAATGAGCTGCCGGTGGATGCGTTGCTCGGGGGAGAGGAGTGACGGAGGGGAAATATACACGTAGGGGAAAAGATGAAGTCGACAGGTAGAAGAGAAACTACCTATGCGCGCGCGTGCGCCTCTCTCTTTTATCTCTCGGTACCGCTTTGTATTAGGCCGCTGTCGTGCGGCTGGTATGCGCCGCCAAAGTTTTCTTCCTGTACGCAAGGGAATTCTTCTCATTTTTCTCTCTTCCTCATCTATCGCGTTTACCGGCGTAGTCGACGGCTACTCCGAGTAATCTCTTTCGGTCGGGAAGCTCAAGATACGATCTTCTCTCGCAACGCGAAACGCGCCGGCGCTTGATTTTATGGCGCTTCCGCTTGAAAAATGAACTTTTTTTTTATTACAAATCCTTTTCTCCTCCTCTCTTTTATCAAGGGTCCGAGAGGCTATCGCTCCGTCCAGCAATCACGGCCAGTGCCTGGCACAGAGCGTGTTGAGCACACATAACATAGTCTGCAAATACGCGTGCTCATTCCCACGCACCCACGCCTCTCTCACAGCCGGTTCGCGCTTCAAGTAGACGGACGAATCGCATTTAGCCTCCCGCCGCGACGTCGCAAGTGTTTTCTCGCGTCGCAAACTGTCTTGACTCTGACATTGTAATATATTGTACACCTGAAGGGAACTTCTATCTCGACCGCCGATTAAATCTCGCTAGAATTCAATCGCTTTTGATCCTCTTTTATATTAAATTCTGATTATAAGACAACAATATCCACTATTCAATTGATATTTTACAAGCGCGAGATCGATCGAAGTGTTAAGATAAATCTGATTCGATACCAGAGTCGTTGTTGATTTGTCAAGTCAAGGCGACAATTATATGGCAGAATGTCTCGCAACGAGATAAATACATTTCTGTAGAGGTTGAGTAGAGCTACGATAGAATAGATAAGCGTACAATGGTTCGTTGAACTTTTACGTATGTAAATAACGCGAAAAAACTCGCAAAGCTGTCTGAGTAGGTTTAACTTGGAGCTATAAGCAGATACTCAGGACGATTGCATTTGTCACGCAATGCAGGGGAGATGACCGATACAAGATGATCCATGTTTACGTTTCGAAATGATTTAATATTATTTACTTGTTGACGATTATACATATGATAACTATATAATTTATTTCATATTTAAAAAATAATTTCGCGCGATCTCAAGTAAACTTGTTGTTAAATCAATTACATCTAAATGCTAATAAGATATTTTCGAGGGAATGTTCTGGCTTTTAAATAATAATAGATAATTTTATTCGACTTTCTATCCATTTAAATAAATTTCATAAGGATTGCCTTCTACTTTGATTATTATATGCAAAGCGACTTTGAGAGGCTTGGAACTTACAGTTTATATTTGCATGAGTAATACAAACTAACGAAAGCATCATTTACGTGTTTTAGGGTACGGAAGAAGAGTGCCGACATGTCGGCGTTGAACGCCGCGCTTTGTAGACGCGAGATAATCCTCTGGCTGGCCGCCGTCCTACTGCTGGCGTCACGATCCACGCATTCTGGTAAGTTTTTGCACAAATACTCGGTACGCTTCTATCTCCCTTTCTTTCGTCTGGCTCCGACGCCTCGGACACGCTTGAGCCGCCGTATAAAACGTGAGTCATTTATTTGATAGAAAGACCGTGAACGCGGACTCCCACGAGAGGAAATGGGAGACGGGGAAGAAATATTTTCGCTTGCCCGAAGACGCGATTATCTTTGCTTCGGTTGGAGGAGCCGGATTATAATTCGGATACATTCCGGAATCCATCCATACATGCGGCAAAATGTATTACGAATCGTAAAAAAAAAATGCTTTCGTTTCCACCGATATTGTTTTACTCTCTTTCACGATCGACGGAGAAACGCCGACAAGAAGTCGGGTATTGCGGTAATAGAGAGCAAAAGTAATCTCGATGAAGATGAGATTAGCTTCTCGAGTATGTTTTGCTCATAGAAATTTACGATAGAATCTAGTTTTTCGAACGACAAAAAAAAACAAATAGCGAGCCTATCAAAGCAACGTTTCTCGGATGGTAGATAGAACCGAGTACCGTGTTATTTCTCGAAATTACAAAAGAGACGCGAGAAGAAAGAGGTCTAAATCGAGCGTGAATGTATATGCCATGCGTTGAAATTAATTTCTGAAAATCAGAGAGAGAATCGGAGAGAGACGAACACTTCCGCGATCGCTCTTTCTTCGTATTCTCCCGGTGTGACTAACGCAGAATCGGCCGACCAATGTTTGAATGAGCGAGCCACGTTCTGTCAGGCCGTCGAACCTATCCGCGTACGCCTCCCTTCTTCTCCAACGACGAAGAAAGAGAGAGAGAGAACATTATCTCATAATGCTCACCTCTGGCACCGGCTGTGTCGGGGCCCAAGGTGCTTTCCCATGGACCTGGCACACCATATTCGTTCTTCGACCATTCTCAGGTCGCCTTCGGGCGGTCGGTCGCGTCTCCTTCCTATCCTCGTAAGACCTCGTTCCGCGAAGTATCGCGCGGAGCTTCTTCCCTTTACGTCGAGCAGGTTTCAAACGGTACGCTTGGTCTCCTATCGGGACCTGTAGGTCCTGCTACTGATAACAAAATCAAATGATTTGATTAAAGCGAATTTTAAATTGTCGCGAATTATGAATTATTTCCGGAGAAAAATAATGCGAGATTATATCGCACGCGATCGACCGCAAATAAGACATATTTCAACATGAAAAATCGAAAAAAAAAAAAAGAATTCATCGTTCTCGTAATTCGTTATTCGAGAAAGTAATTTTTCTTGCGGTCAAGGGAAAAGGATATTCAAAGAAGTCGAATCTATTTTGCGCCAAGCGCTCACGACGATCGATCGATCGATCGATAGATAGAGGAGTGTTCTCGGAAATACACGATACGAACATGGCCGCATGCAAAAACGTTGCATCGTCAATGAAGGCTTATTGAGGATGCGTCAGTTTTGCTTCTCCCCTTCATCAATCGGCCGTCGGTGCTTCAACGAAGAGCAGGTGTGGTTAAACGGACGGGATCGATTGAATTCCGCGACTCGCTCGGCGTGTCTTCTCTCCCTCTCTCTGTTTTTTTCCTTCTCCTTTTTTCTCACCCCGGAAATAGCCTGGCGATTCTGTGACTCTTTCTCTCTCGTGTCCTTTTTTTTGTTTCTCAAGCTTTTCTCGAGCAGACAGCAAGGACGATCGAGATTGACGCGCTCGATCACCGGCGATTCATCAGACGACGGACAAGTTTTACCGGACTATGTATCTTCCTTGTGACAGCGGGCATTTGTGCGAGACGTTCGCATTCAAAGGAAATCAGGAACATTGCCGACTTGGATAGGATGCAGCGGGTTTTCATTGCAAAAAAGATTTATCCGTCCTTTTGTAACATTCTTCTCGGATCTGTTTTGAGATTATCGGAATCCACTTGATATATCAGATTGAATTGCGCTGGAAAATCACGTGCCATTCTCACCCCTTGCAATTTCTCGCGCATCAAATTGTTACACGTTTACACGATATCATTACTATGCGCGACAAGAAATACGACAGTTGGCAAAGTATCATAGATATCACTTCAGTGAGATATAAAATTTTGACATCGGCTCGCGAATTTATTTTACTCTTCCTCTTTCTCTTTCCATTTTGTCGCCTTCATAATTCAAACAAAAAATTATTTCTTACGTTCAAGAAGGGGAAATGCGATCTTCAAAGAGATCTTTTAGGAACAAATACAGAAATCAATTTCGAAATGCCCCACTCGAAAATGATTCAAAGCCGGAAGAAAAAAAAAAAAAGAGATGCGTTTGAGACACAGCTGTCCGCTCGCGTAGCGGTTCCTCCGCGGCTGCAGCTACGCGATGCTGTGTGAATTCTGGTCAAACCTGTAAGCCCCGAGGTGTAGTCAGTCTCGGCGTGCCCACGTCGGGATGTCACTGACCGCGTACCTCACCGTTCACCACTTACGGTTCACGTACATCGTCGTCCGCCACGGGGTCGCACCTGACCCCTGAGGCGTTCCATATTTATGCCTAATGTCTAGCAAAGTGTCGTTATCGTCGAGCATCATCGGACTTTTTCGCGACGAGCCCGTCTCGGAAGAGAATCCGGAGATAACGCAGCCGGAGTGCATAAAAATGCGACGAGACATGTGTTATGTGGGATCGCGTACAGTTACGCGTCTGTTAAGTGCGCTCAATTATTTTTCGCGCAAGAGACGCGATTGTACAAGCTGATCGATAAGTGTATATATATGTGTATGTGCGAAAGGCTTTTATAAAAAAATGACAGATCTCAATCTCTCGATTTTACAATTAAATCGAATTGTCGGAGATGTATGTAAAGTCTTGTACTCGAGAGCGGAACAATGAGGGTTTTGAGGTGACTCGATCTAATGCGTTTTTAATAGCGAGTGCGAATACATTTCGCGCCGTCAATTCAGACGAGGAAAGAGCTCTCGCGAGATAAGAGGGTATAGAAAGGATCTGTTGTAACCGGTACATAGTAAGAGGACTCCAGTCTCCCGTCCTCTTCTCTCGTCTCTCCTTCTCCCTCGTCTGTGTACCTTCTTGACTACTTATTGAGACGGCGAGGTCAGCGGCGGTCATCCGACGAAGGATATAACGGAACGCGTGGGTGCAACGTCAGCGTGACGCGGATTAAATCGGTCGCGTTAATTCGTTTTGGAAAATGGGGGGTGTTTCGCTTTCGCGCGGAGCAATTTAAGGACGGGTTTCACGCGGTATCGCGTTCAATGCCCGCTAGAGCCAACACACGTACACGGGACATTCTCGTGCAGCGAAGTGAATCGCGGTTCAGAGATCCCGAGTCCCTTATCGGAAACGAGCGTTTCTTTCGTCCGGGAATTATTCTCATTACCGGACCTAACGGCGCGCGGACTCGCCTCATAATATAGGAAGCGGCAATGAACTCGATCCCGCGATTGGGAGAACATAATTTATGATTGTCCTCGAAAGGAGGAGTGGGGATCGCATGCTAAGAAATATACACGCGGCGGCGCGTATTACGCCAGAAACCGGTCGGCCAGGTTTCCACGGCGTTACCTTCTCGATCGCCGTGACATTGGCATTAACACTCGCGCCGATACAAGCAACGCTCGTCATTTTTCAACTCGTAATCTGAATTAGCTTCGATAAAATTATCCGAGTTGCGTAACTTCCGCGAGCGAGATGAATCTTCGACGCGGAGGGAAAATGTCACGACGCGAGAGACAATTTTTTTTTCTCATCTCACGCAACGGGGGATGAAATTATTCCATCATTTTTTTCATCAACGTTGAGTATAGGCCGACCCGGGGAGCGCGGTGAAGGAAACCGCGTCCTTGGAGGATGCGTAATGCAGGATTTCGTGCACGCAATAGACCGGGGGTCGGCTGCGGTGCCAGGTGTTCATCGGACCGTGTGCGGTTGATGGTAATGAACTTTCGCGAGGCAAGGCCGCCGGGGATGATTTCATAACGCGAGCGCAAGCGCACTCTCCTGCAGTGTAATAGCATCGTTCGCGCTCAGACGCGGAGAAAGGGACGGGGTCAGGTCGAGACACTTGGCGAGAGAGGGACCGAGAGGGTCGCTCTCCGAGCGAGACAATTGCGAGAAAGGAAGCGGAGGCCGGAGAGGAAACGGGAGGACTCTCTCGGCGAGTACGTCGACTTACATAATGACTCTCCCCGCGATTCCTCGAGATATATATAAAATATGTGTATGTTTGCGTGTATATATATATGTACGTGTATACGCGCGATTCTCTGTCCTCGATTACGAGCGAGGCGGCCGAGAGGAGCGTATAAATCTCGCGCGCGGAAATTATATTCGAGGGAAGATGCGTTTATTGTTGATACCGATAAACTCCCACGTCGCTTTTTTTTCTACGCGATCAAGATTGATTTAGGGTCCGCGTTCCCTTCTCGAGGTACAACTCGGAGAGAGGGAGAGAGAGAAAGAAAGAAGGAGATAGTCCGGCATTAGAACGTACCTTGGTCGATGCACGCGGCTTTATACGACGCGTTTTATTCGAAACCGTATTTTTATCCGAAGCGCGGAACATTATCTCGCTGCGCGAGATTTATCGAACGACTCTCGCTGTTTCTTCCAAGGAAAAGAACTCGCGATCGCGGTGCGTTTCTCGATCAGAGAGAGAATAAGAAACAAGTGTCGGAACGTACGTGGGATCGGTAACGTACATCGATTGTGTCGATCGAGATCATCGCGCTTCATCACGATGCTATCCTCCGTTACCACAGTCGAAATGCGTCGCAACTTTTTGCCAGCATCTTCCCAGTCGTACTCAATGATCGTCCCGTTAGTTCGCCGACGGTAATTTATCGTTCGCCAGTGAACCGAGAAGAAGCGAAGGAAATGCTCGCTTGCGCGGCAAAAAGCAGACGCTCGGTTTTTGGTGCGTATCGTAAGACTCGACGGACCGTTCGGAGGATGCGACACGTTGCTTCGTTGGCTCTAAAAAAAGAAGTCGAATCATCGACGATTATCCTCGTAATAAATATATCCCCTTTTCAATGTCTCGGCGGTATCGAAGTCCCGGATAAGCAGCTTTTATCGATCGATCCTGGTCTTGATCATTTCATCATGCGTTCAATTATAAGCGCCGCGTATGCCGCCGCGCTTGTCTGTTGAATAATTGTATTGTGCAAGAGTGTCGTAGTTAGCGCACGCACAATGAAGAACACGTACGGAGATTACAATCGGGATTACACGACACCTTGACCGTGGTCTCTCTCCGTAGGAAGGTGCAACGTAATAATTTAACCCGACCATTATGCGAGACAAGAATCGTCTCGGTAGGCCACAGTGCACGCGTACGTGATGGCTCCTCGTATAACGTGGAGGCACGCGGCTCGGGTCCCGATTCACTCGTGGGATTGACGAGGGGCCTTTCATTCACCCGAAGCCTGGATCGTCGTGATTCCCGGTACAATTCGATTCATTGGAAATCGCCTGTGTCGCGGAATGCTATTTCTCGAATTCTCATTTCTCATTCTATAAAACTTATGAATAGAGTTGTAAAAAATTCGATTTCTTAAATAGAAAATAAATGAAAAAAATAGATTTCCTTTTCATTGAAAAAATTTTTTGTTTCATTATTTTTTTAAAATACATGATATTATTTTTCTTCATATTTTTCTGTTAATATGAGAGGAAAATTAAAGTTCTTATAATTTTAATTTATATTTTTTTGAAGTGATTTCCTTTTTTTTTATTTATATTTTTCTGAAATTATTTTCAAATCATGGCGTGTAATTTGCCACAAGAATCTTATTAATTCATTAAAATTACTATAATATTGCACGGATGTCGCACTAAGAATGTTTTTAGAATGTAATAAATGGTTGAATATAATTTGGCGAAAGCGAGAAAAAAAACGAGAGTGACTCGAATGGAGAAGGTCCATTGTGCAATTTTTAAAACATCTCGATGATTGTACCTCGGGAGAATATCCTGTCACGTTTCAGGAACAATCGAAGTCCTGCACGCGACACTTCAATTCCGAAAGAAATTGCGAAAGAACGTCACATAAGAAGAAAATGGAGTGGGAAATATATACGCATTGTACGTTGTACGTGTCGGATTACACCCGAGAGCCGAAGGGAATTCAGTATTCTGTGCACTCGCTATACAACTCGTTCGACTAGGGTGAGGGTGTTAATGAAAATTCGTCCACGTGTGTTCGCGCCATATGACGCTTCCACTCGTTCCGCGTCAAGCCCCGATACACCCTCGAAAGAGAGAGAGAGAATGCGTCCTGCTGGTAATTACTATGATAAACTACACGCGGGAGACACATTGACGTCATCCCCCTCCTGCAAATTTCCGAGCATATTCGGCGTAATCCCGTTTTATGCGTAATCCCTTTTCATTAACTTTAATTCCGCGTACGAGCTCTTATCTATCGCGGTGCGCTTAATCTTGTAGCATTAATAACATATATGTTTCTTTGATTGCAGCGCCGGTATACGATCAGGATACAACGCAGGTCGCAGAGTATGATGGAGGTACGTATATCACGCAGGTATTAGGTGCGTCTAATCAATCGATACGCGCGTCAATATTAATCGTGTCGCGGTTTAATCGAGGAGCCGCACGTGTCATGCTTTAATCAGAGAGCTCAAATATTATGAATTATTTCTATACGTGATGTATGAGAAATGTTTTAAATTTATTCAGTAAACATGCATTCCATGAGTCCGTGAAAATAATAATCGCGTTTAGATTTTTGACATATTTATTAACTTTGAATTATCTATTCTCTAGCTACTACTGGATGTTACTTCAATTATCAGCGTTATCAAGAAGGCGATAGGATCACTACGAGCGAACCATGTCTGAATTGCACGTGCCACAATCGAATGCTAATGTGTTACCTGAAGGTATGTCCATTCACGAAAGCAATCGGCCAAGATTGCACGGTGGAAAAGCGTCCGGATCAATGCTGCCCCGTGATTACTTGTCCGGAAGTACCAGTCCAACTCTTGACGTCGACAACGAGTGCACCGGCGGATTCCTCGGCGGTTGGCTTCCACGATAATTACGGATGTCACGTCGATGAGAGATTTTACCCGGACGGCGCCATGCTGCCGGTGGAGCATCATAATCCTTGCGAGCTTTGCTACTGCATCCGAAACAGAACCACATGCGTCATGCAAGAATGTACTCTACAAGTGGCAGGATGTAAACCGGTCTATCAACCGGGCGTGTGTTGTCCAATCAAATACGATTGCGGTAAGTAATTGCGTTTTCTCTCGCGATATTTCGCTCTCTGTTATTTCGTTCGCTCGCAATTATTGATTACTTGCGCAGAATATGACGAGGAACTTAGTACCACGGTTGGTCCAACCCCCGGGCTCATCATCACCACGACTCCACCTCCCGGCGCCCCCATTCAATGTTATCACGAGGATAAAGTTTACGAAGACGGTGATCTGATTTATTCGAATAAGCCTTGCGAGCATTGTTACTGCTTCGGAGGTGAAATCGCTTGCGCGGTGCAAGATTGCGGAAGGCCGATGCAAGCGCACGGAAAGAATTGCACGGCCTTACCGCCACCAGAAGGAGAATGTTGTCCGACCACATACGAGTGCGGTAAGTAATTTCACGTAATAACTGATGGTTGCGATGTATTATAACTCAACGATCTAATTGAGATAATCAATGAACATTACGCATTAAAGAATATGCTTACGATCGTATATTTATTACAGAGGAAGAGGAACAAGAATTCATCACGCCATCAGAAGAAGAACAACTTCCGGAGCAAGTATCACACGATTTATTGACGACCGCGTCCCCCGTGCTAATCGATCAGGAGGATCAGCAAGCGAAGGGTGAGCATCCTCAGGAAACATTCCCAGGCGCCGACAATGCTATACCGCAGGATCACGAGGGAGAGGAAGAAGAGAATATTCAAGAAACTATTGAACACGTTACTCAGGAACATATTCCTACTGAGAAACCAGAAGAACAACCCGCAACATCACCAACAGAAGAGAACGCTTTACCCGAGACAGAAACTACCGCTATTGAAAAGGAAGCCAGTCCTTCTCCTGCTGAGGTGACATCGGAAGAGGCAGTAACTACTAAAGTACCCTCCGAAGCAGAAGTAACGAAAACGGAAGCGCCTACGACAGTACAAAAAACTGAAGAAAGTTTAGCTACCGAAGCACCTGCCGTTGAACTGCCGGAAGCTTCATCTATCTCGGAAGGTTTACAACCAGAAGAGGAAGCGGCAACTACAGAACATGTACCTGAAGAACGCATAAGCACGGAAGAAAGTGTAATTGAAAAAGAACAACCGATTGAACCTGCCGTTAGCGAAGAAACGCAGACCGAAAATGTATCAGAGGAGACTACTAGTCCACACGAAGAACTTTCCGCAGAGGTGACTAAAGCAGAAAAAACAACGGAAGAAGGACAAGTAAGCGTAACAGAAGAGTCAGAAAGACCAGAGATCTCGACTGAAATTGTTGAGAAAGCAACATTACCAGTCGTAAAAGTTGAAGAGCCTAGTATTAGCACTGTTCCTGAATCTATAACAACCGAAACAACGAGGGAAAGCGAAGAAAAATTAGAAACTACACCAAGTGAAATCTTGGCGACTGAGACAGAAGTATCGATAAAAGAAATAACTACAACTATAGCTCCTGAAGTGTCTAGTACTGAAAAAATCACTACTGAAGAAGAAATATCTCATCCAACAGAAACCGCTGTTACAGAAGAAGTTCAATCGACTGAAGTGAGTAGTTTACCTACGAAACAACCTGCCGAAGAAGAACCAATAATAAGCAAAGAGGAGGAAGAACAACGACCGGAAGAACCGACATCCGAGCATGCAATAATCGAAAAAGAGCATGCCACTATTGGCGCTAAAAAGGAAGATGCCGGTTTAACTGAGAGTCTCCCAATAGGCGCAGAACATATTACTACAGAGGGACAAGTGGAGGAATCTACTTCGGAAATTCCAGCTCAAAGTTCAACCGGCATACCGATTCCTGAGCGAAGTCCAGAACAGAAAGCGGAAGATGAGAATGTGTATCATGTGACTGAAGGTTATTATGACATTACACATCCAGAAATCAGTCCCGATAATCTTATAACTGAACATCCGCAAAAAATTTCTACAACATATGTTCAGCAAGAACAGGAGACTACGTTAACTTCGATAGAAGAAACTTCGAAACCGATTGCGGAGGAAACTGAAGTACCGGAAGAAGAAAGTGCGAAACCATATCCGGCAGAAGTTACAGAAATAAATCTACCAAGTCATAAGCCAGAAATCACTACGGAAGAAACAAAAACGGAAAGTATTCCTGAAGTTCAGGCTAGCACGGAACCTTCTGCAACCACTGTTTCTCATATACCAGAAGAAAAAATATCTGAGGAAACTGAGAAACCTAGTGTATCGAAAGAGAGCGAAACCGAAATATCGCCAACGGAAATTCAGTCAACGGAAGAAACTCTCAAGGAAAAATTGCCTGCAAAAGAATTTGGTATTAAAAAATCTGATTCTTCTGAACCAGAAATTAGTGAGAAAGAGGTTCAACCAAAGAAAGAACAGTCAAGTGAAGAGGGAATAGAAACTCAATCTCCGATCATAACGGAACCAGAAATTTCTACCTCTCTTCCAGTTGAATATGAATATTCATCAACAGTACTTCCGAGTCTTGAAGAAGAACAAGCAACAAAAGGTGAACATATTACCGTAATTCCTGAACAATCGACCGTGCCACAAATTGGAGAAGTAGAAACTGAAATTACTCCTATTGAAAAAGAAAAGCCAATCGAGGAATATGCTACAGAACAATCTACTGTTTTACCAGGTATAATTGAAGAAGAAAATGAAATACAAACTGAGAAACCTATCTCGAAAGAGACAGAAACCACGATAGCAACAAAGACGATAGAAGAAGCCGAAGAGAAAGTTACGACACAAGCTCCTATTGAAAAAGAAAAAACTGAGCAACCTGAACAATATTCAACCGAAAAGACTTTAGAAGAAGTTGCTACTACAGAAAGCCATGATGTGCAACAAACCGAGACACCTGCGATCGAGAAAAAGCCTGAGGAAACAGAAGGTACGGAAGGCGTGTCAACGGAAGGTATAGAACAACAAACTGAAACAGTGATAACAGAAAAGGAACCAAGCGAAGAAAAAGAACCATCCGAAGAAAAGGAACCATCCAAAGAAAAGGAACCATCCGAAGGAAAGGAACCATCCGAAGAAAAAGAACCATCCGAAGGAAAGGAACCATCCGAAGAAAAGGAATCATCCGAAGAAAAGGAACCATCCGAAGAAAAGGAACCATCCATAGAAAAGGAACCATCCGAAGAAAAGGAATCATCCGAAGAAAAGGAATCATCCGAAGAAAAGAAACCATCCGAAGAAAAGGAACCATCCGAAGAAAAGGAACCATCCGAAGAAAAGGAACCATCCGAAGAAAAAGAACCATCCGAAGAAAAGAAATCACCCGAAGGAAAGGAACCATCCGAAGGAAAGGAACCATCCGAAGAAAAGGAACCATCCGAAGAAAAGGAACCATCCGAAGGAAAGGAACCATCCGAAGGAAAGGAACCATCCGAAGGAAAGGAACCATCCGAAGAAAAGGAACCATCCGAAGAAAAGGAACCATCCGAAGAAAAGGAACCATCCGAAGAAAAGGAACCATCCGAAGAAAAGGAACCATCCGAAGAAAAGGAACCATCCGAAGAAAAGAAACCATTTGAAGAAAAGAAACCATTTGAAGAAAAGGAACCATCCGAAGAAAAGGAACCATCCGAAGAAAAGGAACCATCCGAAGAAAAGGAACCATCCGAAGGAAAGGAACCATCCGAAGAAACTATAGAAGTAAAACCACCGGAAGTTACAACAGAAAGTATCGAACAGACAGAATTACCTGTAGAACATCCTATCGAAACAGGTGAAGTTGAGAAAGAAAGTGAGGAAAAAATCTCTACGCCTGTATCTACGGAGGAAGTGCAGACAGAAATTCCTGTAGTTGAGATTGGATCCACTGAATCACCGGCCGTGGAAGAAACAGAGAAAATACAAACTGAACCTTCCGTTAGCGAAGAATATATACCAAGTCAACCTCCAATTCCTTCAGACCGCAAGGAGGATCAGGAATCTGTTGAACCAAAACCAAGCGAAGAAAAGCATGAAGGCGAAGCACAAGTGACTCAGGAACCATCTCTCGAAGAGAAGAAAGAGACTGAGACGTATGAAGAATCACAAAAGACGACAGTTTCTTCTGAGGAAGCTGTTACTGAATCTGTTCTACCTGAAGAAAAGCCGACTGAGGTTGCTGGTACAACGACGCTCACTGATGTAGGTCACGAAGTCGTTACACAACCAACTGTAGAAGAACTACCTGAAGTGAGCGAACAACCGGAAAATGTCACGACAGAACAAGAAGAACAAACTCAGAAACCAGTTACTGAACAACCTGAGATACATGTAAGAAAAGAGACTGAAATACCTATTTCTGTAACTTACGAAGGTTCTTCTATAACTCCTACCAGCGTTCCTAGCGAAGAAGATGTTAGTAAATCGACCGAAGTTGCAAGCGAAGGTACTACAATACTTGAGCCTATTGAAGAGCCGACGAAGCATGAAGGTGAAGTTTCCGTCGAAACAGAAATTACATCTACAGAATCTATATCTTCGGAAGAGAGACAACCGGAGACACACGAGCAGACTACACAATCATTAGTAACAGAAGAATCAACTCAGGAAGTAGGTGAAGAGCTTACTGAAATATCCACAAAAGAAAGCGCGATTCCAGAAACGTCTAAAGTACCTATTACTGAGGAGCAACCACAGAGGCCCGAAGAGAAAGAAATTGCAAGTACGGAAGCGCCGATTCATGAAAAGGAGGAGGAAGAGGAACACATAACAGTTGCTTTAACAGAAACTCCTGAAATACAAATTACTGAAATACCATTAGAAAAAATACCTCAATATTCAACCGAAACGAGCATTCCCGAAGAAACTCTTACAGAGAAAGAGAGTACATCGGAGATCGCACCTCGTCCATCAGGTATTCCGGGAGAAGGCAACTGCCTTGTCGAAGGACAATCCTATAATAATAATTCGGCTGTTCCGCCGGCGAATGTATGTCAGACGAGTTGTCATTGTATTAGCAGTATCGTTCAATGTGAACTCGTGCAATGTCCTCCCCCGCCAGCTCATCTATCGAACTGCATGCCAATTTATACGAGCGGAGACTCATGTTGTCCAATGTATGCATGCGATTCGACGCCAACTGCTGAATTGGAATCCGATAGTCACGTAATCGAGCCACATATTCCTGAAAAAGAGGAAGGCCAAAAGACTTCTTTGCCGGCAGAGATATCAACAGAAAAACCAGCCACAAAAGTTACTGAAGCAGTGGAAGAATACAGTACATTAGCTGGTGAGATCAGTACGCCGGAGACACAACCTGCGGAAACCACTGTTTCTTCCATTTCTCCATCGGAAGAAGAAGTAGAATTGACAATTGAGAAGCAGCAGACCACTCTAAAATCTATCGAATCAGTTTACGAACAGCCAACTACAATTTCGCAATCTATTGAGACGCAGCCTGAAGAACATACTATCAGTTCTGTACCTGAGACATCACAGGAATCTGTCACTCAAGTACTCGAAGAAGAACATACTGTGCTAACAAATGTGCCAGAAGAAGTTACCGAAAGCAAAATTAGCGAAAAAGGAGAAGATGTAACAGAATCGATAACTTCGACTGAGCAATCACGGGAGCAGACTGTCGAACAACAAACTTCTGTTAGTGGCGAAGAACAAGTAATCACTTCCACGCCTATATCTCCAGAACAAGAAATTCATGGTGAAGAAGTTACAACTCCTATTGTAGAGAAAGATATTTCCGTTCCTGTTGAAATAGAAAAAACTTCAACATCTACTGAGAAAGAAGAAGAAATTACGACTATTAGAATTGATAAGGAAGAAGAGGTTACTACTACGTCTACCAAAGAACAAGAAAAACCTTCCGAAGAAAGTATCGAGGAGCAATCTACGCTTAAATCGATTGAAGAAGGCGAGATACAGCCTGAAGAAAAGATACCAATATCAACTTCTGAAAAATCAATTATTGTTGAAGAAGAGTTATCAACGAAACCGGAAATTTCAGAAGAACAAAAGACTGTTGAACCAACTGAATACGAGAGCACTTCCATTTCTGAAGTTCAACCGACGGAGCATAAACTCGAAAGTGAAATTGAACATGAAGAAGAAAAGGAACATGAAGTGGTTACATCGACTGAAGGTGAACAAGCTACTCAGACTGAAAAACCAGAAAGCCAAACGAAATTGCCTGGCATTGCCCCGAGTAGTACAGAGACACAGGAACCAATCGCACCTGTTACTGAATCGACGACTTTGATACACGAGCATACGGTGACCGAGGAAGCGCCATTAGAGGAACATACAACTATAAAATCTATAGAAGTTTCCACAGAAGAAAGTAAAGAAATAACATCTATAGAAGTTTCCACAGAAGAAAGTAAAGAAATAACATCTATAGAAGTTTCCACAGAAGAAAGTAAAGAAATAACATCAGAAGTTTCAACTAAAGTTCCTGAAGAAGAACCTATTACTACCTTGCCCGTAGAAACACAAAAACCTGAGAAAACAACTGAACAGGAATTAGAAAAATCTAGCGAAGAAAGTGTTAAACGAGTCGAAGAATCTACTCCTGAAGTTTCTCACGAAGAAACATCGCCGGAAACAACGGAAAGCGCAGCAGGAATAGAACCTACGGAATATGCTGAAGAACATACGGAACCATCAGAACACGAAAAAGAACCATCTGTCACAAAATTACCCGAAGAAAAACCATCTGAAACTGAATCTCCGATTAGTACGGAACAACCAGTAAAAGCTATTGGAGTTGAAGAAACTTCTGAAGCAGAAGCAGAATATGAAAAGCCTACTGAATCTACTACTATTCATGAACCAGAAGGTACGCAAATTTCGATTGAACAGCATCCAGAAACCGAAATTGAATCTCATACACCTAAATCACCTGTCGAAGAGCATACGATAGTCGAAGAAATACCAACAACATCTGTATCTGTAGAAAAAGAAGCCAGCGAACCATCTGTTACATCGGTAAAGGAAATTCAGCCAAGTCTAGATGAAGTGGAAACTAAGCAGCCTATTATTCCCGAAGAAGAAACCGTAACACCAGCTGTAGAAGAAGAACACATTACTGTTCCAATCGAAGAGCATACTTTGAAATCTGAAGAGTATCCTGTCAAAAAACAGACTGTTATTCCTAGTGAAGGCGAAGCAACAGAAAGCAGCATTTCAACGGAAGAAGCTACGTCGGAAAGCGTAACAAGCCAACAGGAACAAACAGAAAAGACTGTAGAAAGTGCCAAACCCGAAACGGAATTGCCCACTTTAACGGAAGAACAAACTAGTATTCCCGAAATTCACACAGAAGAAGAAGAGCAGAAACCTGAAACCGGTATAACGAAAGAAACGGATAAAGAAAAACCGATCACGGAACAAGCTGTTGAAGAGGAAACTGTAACATCTGCCGGTATTACGGAAGAGTATCCTGCTACGGAAGAACATACCGAGCAAGAAATTGAAATAAAAATTCATGAACCAACGGAACTTGAAACAACAATTGCTCCAAAAGAGCAGGAACTTGAAAAGGAAGTTACAAATGTGCCGGAACATCCATTAAGCGAAGAAGCGACAACCGAGCCAAGCTTGATACCTGAAGAACCAATATCTGTGAAAATAGAAGAAGAGGAAAAAGAGACTCATAAACCTGAATATCAAACAACATCATCTATTGCAGAAGAAGAAGCATCGAAACCAGTGACCGAAGTCAGTGAAGTAGAACAACTTTTACCCGAAGAAGAATCTACACCTGAAAGTGCAACAGAGAAACCGGAGGAATCTATTACAAAGGTTTCTGTCGAAATAAGCACAACCGAAAAGTTTGCAGAAGTTTCATCTGAAACAGAAAAACCAGGTGTACCAGAACAAGTAACAGAATTGCCCGAGCAACAAGGTGAAAGTACTACAAAATCAATTCAAGATGCTGTATCCGAAGAGACATTACCAGAGAAAATAATTCCAGTAGAAGTGATACCAGAAACTGAAGAGAAGCCAAGCGAAACTTCTACAGTAGGTGAAGAGGAAGCACATTCTACTGAATCTGGTCTTCCAGTTGAAACAACTTCCATTCGCGAAGAAGAACAACCGTCGATAACGAAACTACAGCCGACTGAAGGTCCTCTTCCTTCCGAAGAAGAGACTCTTGCACCGGGAGAGATTCAGCCTAGCGAATCTGAAGAAAGCGAAATACATCCTAGTATACCTGAGGAACCTCAATCTACTACGGAACCTCAATCTACTACGGAACATGCGTCCGAAACATCTGTCACAATAAAAGCCGAAGAGCATCCGGAAACCGAGCGACCAGAAATTGTTACGGAAGCTGCAGTGCCAACTGAAGGCCCAACCACGATATCTGGCATACCAACTGAATTACCTGAAGAGAAAACTACTATCAGAACAATATCAGAAGAAGCCGAAACCCAAGGCTCAATAAGGCCTGAAGAAGGTGTGCAACCTGCGAAAATACCGATTGAGGAACATGGCATAAAGGCACAACCGGTATCAACGGAATTACCAATCGGAGAATCTACAGAGGAAATTCCTGAGGAGGAAGTTCCTTCTCAAGAGAGCGAAGAAGTCGGTCATCCTCATTTTGATCAATTCCCGGAGGCTACCGTAAAACCAGAGACTGACTATTCCGCGGAGGGCGAATTAACGTTGGGATCTGACGAGGAGCATTTGCGACCCGTCAATCATACCGTAGAATCAACGGAACGACCATATCAACCTAGCTTCCATGAACAGCGACCAGCAACTACTCTAGCGCCTCATGTTCCGGAGTATCCCGATCAATCGGGCGAAGATTATTCTCATTTCCCTTCGCAAGACGGTTTGAATCCCAATGAGGATTACGATGAAGATGAACAGGTTTACGGACCGGGCACCTGCCGATACGGAGGCAAGGTTTACGTCTCGGCGCAACAGATACCGAGAGATGATCCATGCGACTTCTGCTTCTGCTTCAGAAGTGACATCATCTGCTTGCAGCAAAGCTGCCCGCCGCCTATTCCAGGATGCCACGAGGAACCGATCAGCGGTTTCTGCTGTCCTAGATACGAATGTCCTGTATCGATGGCCATGTCTCTTAACTTGACCACTACGACTACTACGACCACGACTACGTTACCGCCACATTTTCACCCTCACGCTTATAAAGGCGCCGCGAGACGAAGCGGCTGCCAAATCCGTGGTCAAGCATATCGAGTAGGAGAGGTCATTAAATCGGCGTCTGGACCTTGTCTTCAGTGCACGTAAGTTTATCAATGAGAGAAAATATATTTCTTTATTTTTATAATTAAATTTTCATGCCAATTTTATATGCATTGTCTGTGAAAAATTTAACGAATTCTTGTAAAATTTTAGCTGCGGAGGTGACGGCAACATGAAATGCGAGCCGCGAATGTGCAGTCCAGAACCGATGCTGAGGCAAATGATCGCCACGGCTACAGCCAAGAGAAGGAGATGAGCCGCCAAACTGGATCGTCTTTACAAAGAATCATATACGAGAACGACGAAGTCGACAGCTGGATTCAGTGTTGTATAAAAGTGAATTAAAATTATTCTAAACTACCTAAACGTCGTGCGGAACACAGACAATAATGTGCTTCGACGATCACGAACTGAGTGGCCAAAACGTAAACGTTTATATTAATAATATTATATTATGTTATATATATAAAAAAAAGAGAAACAGCGATATGAACGAGAGATGATGGAGGTAATAATATCGGTCGGAGACCCGTAGGGAATTTACTGCGTATCGAGGCGCGTTATCGGTGCTAATACGCGATCACGGAAGAAGGAAACGAAGAAGCGCAGATATAGAAAATATAAGAAAAAAAAAAGAATAAATTTCGTTCGTGATAATTCCGCGTTCTGTCTCATGGGATATTTTGTACGCTCTGAAAAGAGGAGAGAAAGAGAGCAAATTACTGAACGTACGAGACTTATGACTGTGCCTTCGTCAAGTGTCGAATATCAATGCTTTCGTTTCGGCAACGAGCGCCGTCCGCAGCCACGGTCATCGTCGTCGGTATTTTAAATAAGCCCGAAGAATCGCGAGCACTTTGTAATGATAGAAAAAGGAGGGAGAAAGGGAAAGGAAATGCGACGAATGCGTTTCGTACGACGCATAAAACGAAAAAAAAAAAAAAGAAGAGAAAATTCATTGCGCTAGTCGATCGCGCAGTGATACTGAAACAGTGGAAAGAATCGTACGAAGAATACCCCTCGATTTGCAGAGCTCGTTCTCTCTAACTAGCTTAGAAGTTTTTTAAACCTTTTTGTACGCAAACTACACGTCCACGGTATTCCTCTTACGATTTAAAAATTCAGAAGCGAGAGAAACATAAACATGATGGCGTATCACTGCGACAATCTCAAGCGACGATGATATGTCATTATTTGCTACGCGATCGAGCGCGTTTTGGATCGTTTATTCGGCTGCTACTGTGTGTCCTAATGATCGGGTCACATTATTCAAGTTTGCTGACATTCACGCGCACTTGAACACGATCGAGATTAATAGATCGGCACAATTAGCCGATCGTGCTTCCAGTACTCTTAAGCCGCGAGGATCCTAAGATCCTATAGTCGTTTTCCTCTCGAGGAAGAACTCTCGATCGAGCCATCTCTATCTTTTTTTTTTTTAATTCGCTCCATCAACCGTATACAGTGCCAAGATCGTGTCCTAGTGCGCGCGCGGGTGTGTGTATGTGCGTGTGTGTGCGTGGTGCGTATAATATGTTAAAGGATGAAAGAGAGAGGAAGCCAGAGAGACGAAAGATACACGCATCTCAAAGCTCAAACAGCGGCTCGCGCGGAGGACCGACCCGAGAATTTGCTTCTCCGGCGAGCTGGCGTCATTATATATATATATATATATATATAAATATAAATATATATATAAATATAAATATATATACATTTATATATAATTCTTTATATACACTGTACCCTCCTGATGATAATACTTAATGATAACAATGTTCTATACGTTTGTACGAAAGTATAGTTATCTAAGACGAGATGAGATAATCGCGCTCGCACAGGTTCTCTAGTCTCAAAGTGTCGCGCTAGGAAAGAGGAGGCGATACACGATCTTCGAAATCTTTCAGACCTTTCGGGATCATTTCCCGCGGGTCTATTATTTATCTTGATAGCAATTATACGCGACTCGCGACTTGAAAAGCGAGAAATATCGTGCAACCGTCACGCTTTGAGACTCTGGAACTTCGCGGGCTCTCTTTAGTATAATAAATAGATCGAATGCTATCGCGTCGCACAAAATACTGCGCATACTGTCTGTATTTATAATAATCGGATGAAGACGAGTCGAAGTTCGGTCTTCCTGATACCGGCGGCCCGTTAGTTCGAGTACTCGTTTATTGATAATTAAGCTCATATCTGCCCGAGAGTACAGCTTCTTCTCGCGGAAAATTATCAAATGAAAGCGTTTTCTCCTTTTGTTCATGTAAAAGATCTCTCTCGACTTGAATGACCAACGAATAATCGCGGCGTATTCATAGAGCTTCCACGACAACACTCGATCGTGATATATACAAAGTAGCCATATTATTACTGTTACTGTTTTCAGATATGAACAAGACCAATATTCCACGCACAATAATAAATAATTGATACACATGTGTGAGACGTTTTTGTTTTATAAAGTTGTAATAAAGTTTTACAAGACTTGCAAACATGATGACGAATGCCTCGGCGTTTACGTTGAGGAGAAATAGAATTTCAGGTACTCGTAATAAAGATAAGGATAATAACAAGAATGTAATAAACGGAACATTTCGCGTACTTTTTTACACTCGTGCGTTTGATTAAATGGAGGACACAAAGGACCTCTATCAGCTGTAAAATTGATGAAAACACGCGATCTATCAGTGCGAAGGATTTTCGATCATTTCCTTATTGTAGTTATATCTGACTGACATCGATACGTGTTAATTTTATCTCGACAATCGAATTACACGTCGTTTAAAACGTCGTTTAGAAGTCGAGTCAGTTCTTTCCAAGCCAATATTCTAGCGATTATAGTCGAAATCTCTAGTATTTACCTTGATATTATCTCGATATCATTCCCCTTAACTCATAGCGAGTAATATTACTATCGAAGGTAAATCAGTGTCGAATATTTAACGGATAAGTACGATATTATGGTACGCATATAACTGTAATAACGTAAGATATATGGTGGATATACATAGGATACATGTAAAAGTAATGTCAAAGTTGGGAGGGAGCGAAAGTGTGTCCCCGCGAGACACTTTTCCATCTAGACTTGCGCACAAAACTTTATAGGCACGCATATATACGCATATATATACTTACGCACAGAGCGACCAATTTTCATCTTCGTTCATGTCAACTGCCTTTGTATTCATCATCGCCACAGAAAAAAGAAAAGTATTCACGCACTGCACTTCCTCGACACGTATTCGCGCGCGATCGCGACGATATTTTTCGATGATCGATAAATGTCACTAAAAAGGGTGGCGCTGGCGTAAAGATTTGAAATTGGTCACGTGTGTGCGTGAATTGCAGCGAATATGGCGCACAGTACGCAAAGATACTCAATCCTTCGACGCTTTATTTCATACATACGTGAGTACGATCGCGCCCCTATTTCGCATCGTGCGATATATAATTTGATTATTCATTTCGTCGCGTATACATTATTACAATATGTGATAAACGAGATGGAGAATAAACGAGAGCGAGCCGGGGAAGAGTGTCCCGGCGGTGCCGACTGTACGGAAGTAGGCTAGATTCGACAGTACGTGCTAGTATAAAGTGTCCTTTTTATATGAATAAAAGATTTTGTATGTCAATTTATCGTGCTCCTTCGTGTTTTCAGGTATATCCCGTCATCCTTTCTCGTTCCTTTGGCGAAAAAATTTTGGTTTATCAAAAAGGTGATCATTTGATTAGATCGTTGCTAATCGATTAAAGATGAAGTTAGGTAGGTGAGTGAATTCGCGCGATATATAATTCGAAAGAACATTTTCAATTTTAATTTTGCGCGAAGTAACATGCATTTTTAAACCATAATGATTAGAAAAAATAACTACAAGAAATATTAAAAATGTATATATTTCTTCATTACTAATATAATATTAATAAGATAAAAAAATCATGATCATATTACGAAAAATCGCAATTCATTTCCGATGTTCCTAAATGGTTTTTTTAAACACATGCATTCTGGCGGCAAATAAACGTATCAAAAATTTATATATTATTAATGAAAGATGATTCTCTCATGAAATAAAGAAAAGATAAAAATTTGTGATAATGATTTCTGTAATATTGCATACATTATACTTGTGTAATAAAAATATAAATCTGTATTATAAATTTTAATATCGCACGCCGAGCGTGAAAGTTTGTCCCTAGAGCGTATGTTGGCAACGCGTGTTTTGACGCATTATCAAAGTAGTGTTATTTTTCGATTTCACGCAAAGTGGGAGCATAGTGTGTTGCTCGATTTTCGAGTTAGATACACCGTGAAATTATCGTTGTCACCGAACGATGGAAGCCGGTGCGAGTACTGGTACTCGCACGACGCGATTTATGATGGAAGGAGTCGGTGCCCGGGTGATTCGCGGACCGGAGTGGAAATGGGGAAAACAGGTTAGAAACGAGAGAGGTTAACCGCATTAAACGTAGCTTTTTCGAGGTAACGCGAATCGTTCATTCTACGAGACTACTTGCTACAAATACTTTCGCGTCTCTTATCTCTCGTGACGGTAATTTGCAAATTTTTTCGGAGAAATTCCGCGTGTAAAAAGATAATTCACCTTGCTGTAAGGTTATTCTCATACTGTTTGTTTAATGTACGACAATCGTTATTTTATTAAATTAATTAAAATATATCACTATTAGGTTTTATTGTGTTGTCTATAAAATATATAAATATAAAATGATTCTCGACAAATACAATGTTAGATGTATGCCAGAGTTTTGGAGCAACTTTCTTATTTTAAATCATGTATATGACTGGCAAATAATAGCCATATTGTCAATTAATTTCCTTATATTAATAATAGAAATGTGAAAATTAATTTCTAATTGTGTTTAAAAGGATGGTGGAGAGGGTCATGTGGGTACCGTCAGAAATTTTGAATCGCCAGAAGAGGTAGTAGTTGTATGGGATAATGGCACTGCGGCTAATTATCGATGTTCTGGAGCCTTTGATCTACGCATACTGGATTCCGCTCCAACAGGAGTAAAGCATGATGGGACAATGTGTGATACTTGTCGTCAACAGCCTATTTTTGGAATACGATGGAAATGTGCCGAATGTGGCAACTATGATCTTTGTTCCATTTGCTATCATGGGGATAAGCATCATTTGCGGCACAGATTTTTTCGCATTGCTACACCAGGAAGTGAAAGAGTTTTGCTAGAGCCTCGACGGAAAAGCAAAAAGGTATGAATAATGACTTTTAATTTTAGTTACATTTAAAAATTACTTTTTATATCATATTGCATTTTGTATTAATTAATTTGTTTGATATAGATTGCAATTCGTGGTATATTCCCTGGTGCACGAGTTGTAAGAGGCGTGGATTGGCAGTGGGAAGATCAGGATGGTGGAAATGGTCGTCGGGGAAAAGTTAATGAAATACAAGACTGGTCTGCAGCTAGTCCACGTTCTGCAGCTTATGTTATTTGGGATAATGGTGCTAAAAATTTGTACAGAGTCGGTTTTGAAGGAATGGTTGGTATTATTTCATTGGATACAATGTCAATTGCATGAAATGACTATTTATTAATATATATTTTTTTATATCTAGGCGGATTTAAAAGTAGTCAATGATGCAAAAGGACAAACGGTATACAGAGATCATTTACCATTGCTCGGTGAACAAGGACCAGGCCGAACAGGCCCTCATGGTTTGCAAATTGGTGATCAGGTAATTATTCTCTATTCGCGATATGTTTATTTTGCGTAAAATATATTCAAAATATTTGATATAATTTGATATTTGATATAATTGTTTCCTTTTTTGTGTCTATAGGTTAATGTTGATTTAGAATTAGAAATTGTACAATCATTGCAACATGGTCATGGCGGCTGGACAGATGGCATGTTTGAATGTCTTGGCACTACAGGAACAGTCGTTGGTATTGATGAAGATCATGATATCGTTGTCTCTTATCCAAGCGGTAATCGGTGGACTTTTAATCCTGCCGTACTCACTAAAGTACAAATACCCGTCCCCGTTACTAGTTCTAGTTCTGACAACCAAACATTTGCTGTTGGAGATTTGGTTCAGATATGCCATGATATAGAAAAAATTAAATTGCTCCAGCGTGGTCATGGAGAATGGGCTGAGGCAATGGCTCCGGTATGTATTTCAAAATAATAAACTAAAATTCAATTACATTTACTTTAGTCTTACACTCTCTTGATTTGCATTTGATTTTTTCAGACCTTGGGAAAAATAGGTAGAGTACAGCAAATATATCATGATGGAGACTTGAAAGTGGAAGTTTGTAGTACATCATGGACATACAATCCCCAAGCTGTTACAAAAGTTGCTAGCAGTGATGGAAGTGTACCAGGAAATAGTAGTGGTGGTAAGTATATCACAAATTAAACTGATTAGTCATTTCATTACAAATTAAACTGATTAGTCATTTCATTAGTCATACATTTCTGGTTTAATATGTGTTATAACTCATATATTGTCTTACTTTTCAGAACGATTATCTGCATTATTAAAGAAATTATTTGAGACACATGTGTCAGGTGATGTTAATGAAGAATTAGTAAAAACTGCAGCCAATGGGGACGCCGCTAAATGCGAAGAATGCTTAAAACGGCCAGAAGCCGATGTTAATGGCGTATTTGCTGGTCACACTGCGTTGCAAGCAGCGAGTCAAAACGGTCATTTAGAAGTTATTAAAATACTTTTGCGATATAAAGCAGACGTAGAAATAGAAGTAAGTTAGGTTCTATAGTCGATTAAACATTTTTCAGATATATACCAGGCTACATTTATTTATGTCTTGTTTTTTTAATAAATAGGACAAAGATGGTGATAGGGCCGTACACCATGCTGCTTTTGGAGATGAACCAGGAGTTATGGCGCTTCTCGCTGGTGCCGGCGCTGATTTAAATGCTCGGAATAAAAGACGTCAAACGGCTCTTCATATTGCTGTTAATAAAGGACATGCTGGTGTTGTGCGAACCTTACTGGAACTGGGATGTCATCCGAGTCTACAGGTAAGTACATACAATTTATAATCGTATATACTAACACTAACATTTCTCAGGATTCATTTCCAGAATGTTATACATTTATTCAGTGTATTATATATTATCCGAGAGTTGAAAACACGACTTGTGTATATTGAATAATATATATTAAAGTTATTTTATATATATAAAAGAATATTTTAAGGCATTATAAAAAATAGTCTTACTTCGCTTATATAGTGAACTTTATAATACTTAATAATAATTACTGAAAACGTAGATTAGCTTAATAGAATTGAAGATAATGATAAAGACAATGATATTTTTATATTTCTTCTACTAGAAAGTACTGTTTTATTACGCTATATGTAGTAGCAAATACACAATAAATGATATATTAATAATTACAACCAAGGAAATCGCA